CCATAGGAGTTGAGTCTCAAAAAAAAATTTATTGTCAATGTCATGGAACATATCACCGATGTTTTTATCTACATATTTTGCTATTGCTGGTCTTATATTTAAATCTTTAATCCATTTGGAATTTACTTTTGTATGAGGAGTAAGAGAGTAATCTAACTTCATGGTTTTATAAATGGGCTTCTAGTTTTCCAAGCACCATTTATTAAGAAGTTTGTCCTTTCTACTGTGTGTGGTAAGATACCATGGATTAGGTAATGATGTGTGTGTGAATTTATTGCAGAGTCTTCAATTCTGTTACATTGGTCCATGCATCTGTTTTGTGCTGATACCATATTGGTTTAGTGCTGCTGCTTTATAATGAAGCTTGAGGTAGGTTAACATGATACCTTCATTTCTCTCCATTCTTCCCTAGGCTTGTCTTTGTTATTCAAGCCCTCTTGTGGTTCCATACAAATTTCAATAGTTTATGTTCAATTTCTTTGAAAATGCTGTTGGCATTTTGATCGGGATCATACTAAATTCACATACAGCTTTAAGCATGATGGCCATTTCGTTATATTAATTCTCCCATCGTGAGCATACAGAGATCAGTCCAACTCCTTCTGTCACTAAGTATTTTAATAATTTCATAGTTCTTACTGTTTAGGCCTTTAACCTCCTTGGTTTGGTTAATTTTGAGGTATTTAATTATTTTTAAAGCAATTATAAAAGGAATTTTTTTCTTGCCTTCTCTTCATTCATTGTGTATATATATAAAAATGCTACAGATTTTTTATCTTTATTTTGGAAACTTCTACTTGCTGTATCCATCTATTATTTCTACTAGCTTTTAGCTTTTTGGTGGAGATGTTAGGGTTTTTCTATTTATCATCTCATATCATATTATGTGTGAATTGTGGTAGTTTCTTTACAGGTTCCCCTAACTCTGCTCTCCCACATGTGCTTTTCTGTTATTGGTTTGTTATGGTATTAGTTTGTTAGGGTTACTGTAACAAAATACCAGTCCCTCAGTGACTTAAACAGAAATTTATTTCTCATGGATCTAGAGTGCAGGATGTTACCAGGGCTAGCTTCTCACGAGGCCTTTCTGTGTGGCACCTTCTCATAGGGTCTCTGTTCTTTTCTCTGGATATCTTTGGTATCTTTTCATCAAAGGCTAATGGTCATACTGGTTTGGGGCCCCATGTTTATGGCCTCATTTAACTTTAGTTACCTTTTAAAGGCACTGTGTTTAATACAGCGTATTAAAGTGATATATAGTCGAACTGAGCGGTTAGGCTTTCAATATATAAATCTCAGGGGAAGGGAAAACGCTCAGTCTACAGCAGTCAGGGAACGGAACCCACTGTCATGTTTCTCCATGAGGTTCACACCTGGTTGGCCTTCTTACTTTCTATCAGATGCTATGTTTACTTAAACCTAACATTGAGGTTTTTTTAGGGAAGAATAGGGAAAAGTCCACTCGATCTTCCTAGACACAGAATGTCCTTCTCTTGAGCTCTTTAAAAGAGGCTTTTGTGACTAAGTCGAAGCAGTTCTTATTTGTAAGAGCCAAGTTTAATTGCACAGAAATACATTAGCTGGAATTCTCAAAGCCTCTGGGGACTGAACGCGTGAAGATCACTCGATAGTCCATAGAATCAGAAGGCATATGGGATTCGTGATGGCAGATCTCCCTTCTGAAAGAAGACATAACCCTTTCATCTGGGAAGATGTGTGTTCAGATGAGACTGGCAGTGTTTGGAAGCACTGGCATCAAAGAAGGAGCACAGTGCCTCTACCTCCTGGGCCTTGGAAGGGAGGATGGACAGGTGGTAGAAATCTGGCTTGAGCTGGCTTCTCAGGGAACAGATCAAAAAAGGCAAGTGTCTGTGTGTGCCCACAGCACAGGTCAGTGTGTTGGGAGGTACCTGAGAGTTCTGTGCTGTTCCCTCTACAGGCGGAGGAAGCATTTCATTCTATCTCGGCTCACCTTAGCCACATCAGTGAGCTCTCAGCCTCCAACAGAAGCTCCAGGTCCCTTCAAGGCCAAATAGCTTCTGGAATTTGTGCATCGTCGAAGCTGTCAACTCCCTGGGCCGCGGGTTGTAGACCAAGCTCCTCCTATTACTCAATTCTGGCTTTTCCCTATTAAGCAGGACCTCCTTGAGGAAGATTGATTTTCCACATTAAAGGAGCCTCCATGGTGCTCAACAAGGATGTCACAAGACAAACGGCTCCTGCTGTGTGCCTCCAGCCCACCACCCATGTTTCTATTACTTTCGGGGTCAGAGTCACAGTGGTTGATTTGGGGGTATAGTTCATTTTCTGCTTTACATGATAACTTGTCAACATTTGACCGATCAGCTGCTTGGATGCAGGGAGTCTATTTGCAAGGCCACCTGGCACCCAGCTCTGCTGTCCCGCTCCCATTTCGCTCTGTCTAATGAGCCAGCACCTGGCTCCTGGTAGTTAGCGCTGAGCTCCTGGTCCCTGTGCAACCTGCTCGTGGTGGTGGTGATGATGGCTCAGCCCCTCCTCAGGGGTCCCACTCTCCTGGCCGGAACTGGCTGGGGCACGGGAACCTGGGAACCTCTCCTTTGTTGTTGCCAGTCTTCTTCTCCAGCTGGGAAGGAGTGTGTCCTTCAAGCCTCCACTCACCAGCTCTGAGACTGTATCCAGCCTGCTTTCCTGCCTCCTGCTGGACAGATCTGTTGTGTGTTTCCTAGGGAGTTGTGGTTATCCACTCCACAGTGACCTTGGGACTAATTCTAAGGAAAGCTTGGTATAGGCAGCTACTAGCCTGGGTTTTCAGAGCCCACTGAACCCAACAGGACCAAAGTGTGTCTCATGCTAAGTGCTTATGACCCCTAGGCTGGCTTCTAGAACCATCCCCTCCCAGGCAATCAGGAATCCTAGACTCTACCTTAATCAATCTCTGCCCAAGATCATTTAGTGTTCCTTCTGTTGCTAAGGGAATCTGCATTCCCAGGTCTACCATTCATGGGCATTGGGGGTGGATGTCTAGGACCAAGACCATCCTCCATATACCTAGGTAAGACATTTAGCTTCTCTGATCCTCACATGTGAATGGTGGTAATAATACCTAATAATACCTAGGTCATATTCATCAATGTGAGTGCTTATTTGATCCCTGGTACCTAGTAGTTGTTCAACAAAGGTTTGTGAGTAGCATTCCTTTACTACAGTCTTCAGCCTTGCCTGAGTCCTGTATGCCTTCACCCATAAGCTTGGGATGGAGGTGATCAAACAAGGGGTGGGAAGATCTGCTCACCCACAAACTCCACCCATGAGCCTGGGGGTCTAGTCCCCAGCTCTCAGAACATTTCCCCACATTGTTTTCTCCCTTCTGACATGTTTCTCCCCTCTTCCCTGCCTATTTGAATCTAACCCAGGCTTGGTCATGATGCTGAGACTGGAGGGAGCAAGGAGAAGCTTGACCACCATTTTGGAAGGTTCCTCAGCCCCTAGAATATTTCCCTCTGACAAAGAGACTAGCCTCTAGATAGGGACCTTGGATTTGAAGGCCTTCAGAAACCCAGAAGGGCAAGTAAAAGCTTAGGATTATGGCAAATCAATGGTGTGGCTTCTCACCTCTACCTACACCTGCAGTGTCGAAATGTGAACCCAACACAAGTAGATGGTGTAAGTTAGGATTGGAGTTGACTCCATGTGACAAAACCCCAAATAATAGTGGCTTAAAGAAGTCAAACGTTTCATCTCTCACATATATTAAAAGTGAGCTATGCAAGTCTGGGGCTTGGCTTCGCCTACCTCACTGTGAGGGTGTGGCCTGTAAGAGTGATGTCCGAAATGAGGCTGCAGCTCTGGACGTCACAGCTGTGCTACAGACAGCCTGATGGAGGAAGGTGGGAACAAGGCAAAAGGCACTTGCTAGTACTTGGAAGATTTCAAATAGTCTTTCTAGATCTTGTTGACAGAATTGGGGACGCTGGGATGTGTAGCTGGTTGCCCATGCACCAGCCAGGCATTCAGTGGCTGAAGGGGAATAGTTATTAGGATATCCGAGTAAGAGTCTAGGCCATACAATGTTGCATCGCCTCCAGTTACCGTGACCAGCATCATTTCCCCACGCCTGTGGCTTCCTAGGACTGAGGGTGGAAGGGGGGTGGGGGAGGGTGGGGCCTTACTCTATTTCAGATTCCAGCTCAGAGGTCAGGATCTCTGGGTGATATCTAGCCCTCACCATTGGGTCCTGAGGACTCACACCCCTAAAGGATGGAGACTACAATCCTGACAATAACGACGCTTGCTTGGGAGACGGGTGCACGGGTGGCCTTTGGGACCTCCCTCTGTTCAGGGAAGGAAGCGGCAGGGGATGCCAAGATGTATTCTACGCCCAGTGTCCCCATAAAGAAGTCACGCTGCCTTGGTGACATGTCTGAACAAGTCAGTGGCTTTTAGTCTATTTATCCTAATGAGTTCTGCTTGCCTGAAATGGCCCCAAAGGACGCATCTGCCGGATAAGGGCTTAGGGACAGGCTGCCTTCAGCACTGAAACAACAGTTGGGACAGTAGTGGTGAGGGAGAACAACACCCTTACTTCCTTACTTCAGACTTTCCTATGGTACTGACTGAAATGTCCATCAACTCATGTTTGAAAACAAGGGCAGGCACATAACCTTGCCTTTGGAACCAGGCATGCTCCGGGGAGCCAGAGTTGGGGTGCTGTTGGGGGAGTGGAGCACCCCAGGGTCTGATGTCCATGGAGAAGGCCCCATCTGGGCTGCTTTCATCCTGGCAGGTAGACACCAGTGACCACACGTCTGGGACCGAATTGTCTATAGCTTGAGGATAGGGCACAGAAACTCAGGACAGTGACTGACTTCACAGCCCACATGCTGTGTGGGGAGGAAGAGATGGGTTCTGGCTTGGGATCTGGGTGCCTTTGTGTTTTGTCTGCTTGTGCCATGTGTGGCTCTGCAAGGGACCCAGGCCTGGGCTGGACAGATGCAGAGACCTTGCTTGCTGCTTTGCAGACTCCACCAACCGGGACTCTCTGGACATGATCGAGCGCTGCATCTGCCTGGTGTGCCTGGACACCCCTGGAGGTGTGGAGCTCAGCGACACTAACAGGGCGCTCCAGCTCCTTCACGGCGGAGGATGCAGCAAGAATGGGGCTAACCGCTGGTACGACAAGTCCCTGCAGGTAAGCCTCCCCGCCGCAGCCCTGCAAGGGGACTGGCATGCGTGTGGCAGGCCCACTCTGCTGCCCAGCATGCTGCAGCTGAGGGCAACTGGTGGGCAACCGGTCCAGCTCCTGGACCGGCCAAGCCTGGCTCAAACTCCTTAACCTTAACCTTCCTGCAACCTATGCCAGGCTGGAGTGGAGTGTCCTCAGTGCCAGATCTGGGATTCACGCCCCATCTCCCATCACACACTGCAAAGTGGGGGCGTGTCAAGGGTCCACTGAACAAAGCCTCCACACACTCAGCAACCCAGATTCCCTGAGTTTCCATCACCTTGGTCTAGCCATTTCGACATGTCCCCCCATCCCAAAAGAGAGCTGCCCAGCCTTTCCACGGGCATAAAACAAAACAAAAGACTCATACTCATTTCATTCAGATGACATTGCCCAGAAAGCAGACGTTCACTCTGACCTCCAGACGTTCACTCTGACCTCTGTTCCTCGGGCCGGGGGGGATGAAGTCACACTGGGGTCCTGAGCCGCACTCTTCTCTCCTTTTCACTGCAGCGAGCCCACCCTGGGTCTCACCTTGTTTCTTTTGACAGTCACCACGAGTTCCCAATGACCACATTAAGGGCAGCCAAATGCTCTCTGCTTGGTGTAGCATCGCTCACTGTGATAAGCATTTCCAGGCAACATCTCATTTTCCTCTTTCTCAGTCCCCACGTTCTGCAGGTTATCCTTTTTATTGGTTTGCATACTGATTCTGCTATTTCTGATGACTTCTCTTGCTGCTGTGATGGCTGTTTCACCCTCCACCAGTGGTGCTAATGGCTTGTAATCTTTCATGGAGCAGCTGTAGGAATGAAATGACATAATAGCTGTACAGGCCCTCAAACACAGTAAACCTTATAGCGGTTTTTAAAAGGCATCACTTCCCTCCTTTTTTCTTAGCGACAGGGACAGAAATGCACTAATGCGTGAGCGGGCCCAGCCCTCCCCGCCTGCCTCACGTGGGGATGGTGCTGACCTCCGGGCTCCTTTCCAGGCAGGATCGATCACTGGGTGAGCTGGAGTAGTCAAAGAGGGCCCAGGGGCCTGAACTGAAAGGGTTGAGTAGACTTGGGCCAGAAAGGCAGAGAGCAGGCAAGGGATGTGTTTTGAGAAAAACTGTGGGCAGAGTGAAGATTCGGGCAGCAGGTACCCTAAGAGACTGAGGAAGACATGGAGAGGGCCAGCCCAGATGTGTGCTGTGCGAGACGGTCCCTGGACAAGGCTTCAGTGGAGATTTTAGTAGCTTATTGGTTTATGGATGGTGAGCTGGTCCCTCCTGAGTACAATGCTGTGCTGAGGTGGATTAAAGGTCACCTCACTTACATTTTAAGGATTAAATCTCATCCTGCTTGTATTTTCCCCTAGCACTTTTGAACACTGAGTCTTCTTTTTCCAAGTTAACTGAATATAGCCTCTGTAAAGTCATTTTAAAAGATTGTAAGTAATCCACAAGTTCCTATGGACCTTTCACATCTCCTTCCTAATCATGGCAGTCCTGTGAACCTTTTGGGATCGGTTTCAAATGAGAGCAAACTGAAGCCAGCGAACTGGCCGGTGGAAGCTCTCCAGGCTGGCAGGGAGCAAGAGACCTGGTTTTTGACTTGAAGCCCGGACCGCAGTTTAAGGGGGACCCCGTGCACCATTCATTCCCACCATAGCTGCACGCCCTCCAAAAAGGATCATTACTTTTTAATTGACATGTTCAACAAAATTACTGAGCATCTACTATGGGGTGGACAGTGGTCTAGACCCTAGGGATAAAGTCAATAGTGGCCAAACACACAGTGACATAAGACACATGATCACACAGAACAGCACGGTGGCCCCACTGTACAACTGGCAGGAAGCTGGACCAACAGAAGTGCCAGGACCTGGCAGGGAGCGCGCACACAAGCTGTGTCAGTGGGGAGCTGAGGAGGCCACCTGTCACCAGCAAGGCCCGCAGCACCACCAGCAAGGTGGTTGCCCTGTTCGGCGCTGTTGGCAACTTCCCCGTGCTCAGGCCACGGCAGTCAGGTGCCGTGTTCTTTTCAGGAGCTGATGTGCCTTGCTGTCACTGGGGGAGAGGCTGCAGGGCACCTGGCTGGCAGCCAAAGGGCTGGTCTGAAATGCAACTCTGTCGGGTATGCGCTCACCTGTCTCTTCCTCATTGCAGTTTGTGGTGGGCCGGGACGGCACCTGCGGTGTGGTATGTGAACACTCCCCGTTTGATGGCATCGTCCTGGTGCAGTGCACAGAGCACCTGCTCAAACACATGTGAGTCTGGAGGGCGGGGCGTCCCAGGCGGCCACTGGCACAGAGCCAGACCGCAGAGTGGCCATCCAATGAGGTCAGGAAAAATGTGGGTGGCCACTGAGGGCTTGTGTAGTCGAGACAGCATCCTAGCAAAAGATGAATTTAAAAACCAGCTTCAATGAGACGCCATCCACACTTTGTGGACAGAAGGGGCAGGCCAGACGACAGGTTGAAGGCAGTGAGGGGGGACTTGGCCAGAATTCTTAGCGAAGAAGCAACTTCTGCTTTGTCTGGGGTCAGGACTACACCACTCCCGCTCTGACTGGATGGCTCTTCCCAACTTCTAAGCTGGGCAGACGGAAGTTTGTCTGTCCTTTAACCACACCAGCTTCCTTCCTGCCTTCACAATTTCCTCTTACCTTCTAGAAGCTTCACTTTGTATCTCAATTCTAAATTTCTTCCATGATTTAGGAAATTTTTAGGGTCACTGAAAGCCAAGTCAATCCTTGTGGCTGGAACACAATTTTGCTTCTTCGTTTTATCTCCTAGCACATGAGTGTGATCATGTAGTCAAACAGGAAAAGGTGGCCAAAGTATTGAGTTTTGGGGTCAGGTGAGAATAAATAGAAAGCTGGCTCTGCCACTTGCTAATTTGGTGGCCTCTCTGAGCCTCAGTCTACTCATCTGTGCAATAGGTTGATGAGGGCAGCCCATTCCCAGTGAAACTCCACCAGCTAAGACGACTGCAAAGGGAACAGACTCCAGCTTGCAGGGCCTCAGATGGTCACCTCTCTGTGTCTGCAGGGTGAAGAGCAGCAAGAAACTGGTCCGAGCGGACTCCGTCAGTGAGCTGCCAGCCCCCAGGAGGCTGAGGTGGAAATGCTCCCCAGAAATTCAAGGCCTCTTAGCCTCCTCTGCAGAAAAACTTCAACAGTAAGGAGAAGCCTGAGTCTCCTTTGGGGTGATGATCCAGGGGTCACCCCGAGTCCCCCTCCCACCATGGCTAACGAGGTACCCTGGAAGGTCCCAAAGATCCCTGCTCCTCTGCCTTCACTCACCCAGCTCTAACTCCCCACCTCTTCCCCCACACCCACCCCCAGAAATGCAGTGACTTAGTTGAGAGTTATAATTCTGGGGGGAAATAACCTTGCTGAAGTAACTATCATTTCCATAAAATGCAAACATGCAGCTACCCCCGCCCCCAGCAAGTTTTACTTGACCTTACAGAGTCAAGGTGGGGAAATCACCCCACCTTGGGGGAGCTGAGGGAGAACAATGGACAACTGGTTTGAATAGGTCATTTGAATCCATGCTATTTCAATTTGCTTGAATTTACACTGCAACTTGACAGTGGAGCTTTCTTTCAAGGGAGAGTGGCAGTCCAGGCCCTAACGGGACTATGGCAGGAGGGCCACGGATGGGTGGGCCCACCTGGGTGGGCCAATGCTGGCATCATGGCCAGGTGCATTTCCCACAGAGCAGTGGTCATGCTATGCAGAGGCGAGATTGTGACACCTGGGTTTTGAGCAAGAAAAAAGCTTCATTGTGAGTCGATTGACAAGGAGACAGGAATTGGACTGAATTCTACTTCCCTGGATGAGAAAGGGGATGAGGTTCTCTAGATTTGGGGTGCAGGGGCTGAGAACAAAGGCATTACATTTTTGGACTGAAAAGCAGGTTGGGGCAAAGAAATGTGGACTTGGCTGAAGTTCATTGGCTAGTTAGGAGGAGGTTCATTCCATGAAGTAGGAAGAGGATTTTCTGGAGCTCTGAATTTCTGTTGGTGCACCCCTGTACTCTGTCTACCAAACCTCCCTCTGCCCTTGTCTCCAGCTAGAATGTGCCCTGAACCCCGGCCTAAGATTAGTGGATAAGGGCCTGCCTGGTGGTGAAGGGGTTAAGCGTCACACTATGAAGCTGTCCACAGTCACTTCAGCAGGAGCTCCATCCCTGGCCAGGAAGCTGACTCACTTGGCGCAGCAGGCCTCTCCTGTCTCGCCCACTCTCCCCTTAGCAGTGTATTTTGGTTGATCTGTCTGTTCTGCTCCCCCCCCTCTCTCTGGTGAATCATCTCACCCCTTGCACCTCTAGTCTGTACCCCAGTTCTTGCATGCACAAATAAATACATCTTAAAAAAGGAGTAGTTGATAAATCTCTGGGCTCAGCTGTGTCTATAAAAGCAAGTCTTAAGAAAAGTTTAGATACGTTTTTTCCTCTCTTGTTCTCTTAGGGTCTGGAGGAAGCTAGCCTCACTTAAAATCTCCCCTTGATTTTGTACACTTCCTAATTTTGAGGGATCTGGGAATGATGACTTCTCTGGCTACTTTAAGTTGGAAGGGGCATAGGTTAGGATTTGAGGAATGGAACTGTTTGGCATTTAATTGTAAATACTCATGATCTGGTTTTCCATAAAGATGTCTCCTACTGCTTACATAATAGAAAATCAACTTTTAAAAGTTGCCTCCAAAAATTGAACACAACTTTCATTGAACTAATCAATCCCCAGGATTGAAAACTGGTTCTGACAAATCATGAAATGATCTTGTTAGCTGATTTCCTGCAAAGATAATTTCTTATTCAAATCTGGTCGACAGTTACTAATACTTCATTCAATCCTAGGATTAAATGTGTTCTTATTATTTAAGATTTCCCTAACTTGTTTTAACATTGTTTGCAGTCCCTGCCATCCCCTTACATCATTATCCTGTGGACATGGGCATGTTCAACCCAGGACCCATGTGACCCTAAGGCCCCAGCTCCTCTTTCAGGAGCATAAGGAGAGCCAGGGAAGGCCTGTGTGGGGGCAGTTGGAGGAAGCAGGAGGGACTTCAGGGGTCCAGAGCTACCATGGAGCAGGTAGGGTCTGAGAGGTGGCCATGCTCAAAGGCCAGACTGAGGCATGGTTGGCCTCAGAACCTCCAGAACCTCCACAGGCTCCTTGAGTGCTCAGCTTTCCTTAGGCAGAAGGAATAACTCAAGGAAGCCAGACAGGGAGTCTCATTCCTGAGGGAATGTGTTAGTGGGGGTCAGGATTGCTGCTGGGACATTGTGCTGACACTTGGCTGGACCTTGCTGGATGCTGTTCCAGTGAGCAGTCACCCCAGAACCAAACTTGTTGTGAGGGTGACTGGCCAATGCTGGGGGCTGAGCACAAATTCAGGGACTCTTCCTGCTACCCCGATAATGTTTTCTGGGGAGAAACACCTGGGAGTGTCTTGGGAAGCTCAGCAGCCATGGTTTCTGGCATAATAGTCCCTGCTGGGGTACCTGTGACCAGTGGCCAGGCACCAGGCCTTTCTTCCCACAGCACAGCAGGATGCGTCCCAGTGAGGAAACATTGCTTATAAGTGCATGAGAAATGGACTTTTCCCTGGACAAAGGAGATTTGCTGGGTCTGACACGATGGCCAGGATGCTAACAGAATCCATGGGACTCCAGATACACCTTCTAAAAAGAGTCAAATGAATGGTCTCTTTCAGGCCACCTTCTGACAGCACCAGGCTTCTAGGAATTTTGCTTGTGGGTAGTGTTCTCCCTGCCCATGCAAATGGCTCTCATGCCCCCTGTCCCTCCCTGCAGCCAGGGCCACCTCCCCCAATCCTACAGTTGGGCCATCAACCTGTCTGGCCAAGACTCACACTTAGCTCAGAGGAACCAGGGTCCCCCATGCTTCTGTCACTCCCAAATGTCAAGACTTGTCTCTGACACTCCAATATTATATCCCGGAAGACAGGACCTATGCCCTTGACTTTGGACTGTTAGCACATAAACCAAGCTCAAAAACTTGCTGAGATTGTGTGTGTGCTTTCTATATTGCATGCAAAAAGCATCTTTTCTTTTCCTTCCACAGAATAGTAAAGAATCTCGACTTCACTGTTTATAAATTTGACTACTATGGGAAGACGTTCATTAAGAAGCAGAAGTGCAGCCCTGATGCCTTCATTCAGGTAGCCCTACAGCTGGCCTTCTACAGGTGAGCTCAGCCTGCAGACAGAAAAGAAGCTGGGCCTCACTGGGTTGATGCACAAGGCACTTTCGACTCCAGCATCTGGAAGCATCCTGGAGGGAAGGACAACCTCTTGTGGGCTTAGGGGACATGAGGATGATGAGAGCAGGTTGCTTGCAAGGAGGTGTCACCAACCTAGGTTTCAAAGTATGATCCAACCTCAGAAAAGGAAGGTTGTCAGTCAGGAAACTGCCTGAGGGTTGACCCAGGGGCATGGAGCTCACAGGGCAGGGATGGCACCAGGGTTAAGGATGCTTCTCCTCCTCTTTACCTCATCTAGCCCACCTGGCCCCTGGAGCTGTAACCTGTCCCTCCCTAGTCCTCATAAGGAGCCAGGGTCCCAGCTGTGGGTTGGGAAAAGCCTTTCAAACTCATCCTTGATTGGTCCCTGTCTCTCGTCCCCCACAGTCGTGAGTCAGTTCTCCCGACTTCCCTCAAGCCCATCTCTGCCCTCTACCCCCACTGCCTTAGGCCAAGCCCATCATTTCATGTTTGGTCATTGAAGAATCTTCCCCAAGGGTCTCTGCTTCCACTCTTACCTGTTATAATCCTAGTTTCATGAAGTGTGAACTTTGACATATGCAAATCAGATGCGATCACTCACCCCCTGAGCCTTCCCATGGCTTCCTTCCTCACTTAGAACAAAGTCCAGTCTTAGAAAGAGGCTTACTGTGAACTGGCCTCACCTGGGCCCTCCCTTTTGCTCTGACTTTGCCTCCCACCCCACCACCCACCACTCTTCCTTCCACTTGGGCTCAGGTCTCCCCTGACCTCCTTGCCTGGTGCCCCCTCACTACCCAGGTCTCCACAATAATACCTTGTGTGTTCTCTTTATTGGCAATTGGTATTCATGTGAACCACCTTGTTCAGAGATTTATTGACTCCCCCCCCCCCGAACTATCTCCCCCAAGGTTGACACTCCAGTATCGTACCCAGCTGGGCACTAAGTCAGCACCAGGGACTGAGTCACAGAAGTAAGAGACAGTGCAGGGATTTTAGCCAGGGGTGGCACAGTCAGAACTGAGGTTTAGAAAAATCTCTGCAGCAGTAGCTGAACTGGGGAAGGGACAAGAGAGAAGTCAAGTGTTGAAAGCAGAATAGGAAGTACAACTGGTCTTCTATAGGAGGCTCAAATGCAGAATAGGTCTTCCTTAAGGCAGAATGGATACCGATGAACCCAGCATTCCAGAAGAAACAGCTTATAAGCTGGCATGGGCAGTAAATAACACTATGCCTACCAGGACCAACTTTTGGTTTTCAACATCCAGGAGGGTCATTAAGTGACCTTGGGTGAAGAGGTCCCACTATGAACAGGCAGTACCCATGTGAATGCAGCACCCCAGATTCCAGGGTATGCTTGGGGTACCCCCATAGCTCATGGAGAACAGCATCTGTTTGGTCAGGGCGTCATAGGGGAAGGCTGATGCCCCCCTGGCGAGGACTGTGCCTATTGCCTGGACATGGAGTGCGCGAGCATCCAGCTGCGGCAGGACCTGGCACCTGTTATTTTGGGCCATGCCGTCCTCATACGAGCATGTGGGTGAAGTGGGCCGCGAGGTCAAGGCTGGGGACACTGCCTGGCCAGCACTCCAAAGCCTCCCAAGTGGAGAGGGGGCGCACAAAGCCCCCCTGTTCTATCCGCCTGTCATCTGTGTTGTCGCTGAATATGGCGAGAAGTGGATGTGGCCAGGAATGGATGTGGGCTCAGCACATGGTCCAGATAGGACCCGTTTTCCATGGCGAACATTCTCCAGTCCCAGCTGTAACAAATGCTTAAAAAGGCTGCTGCTAGATTTAACAGAAACCTGGAAGTTGCCTAAATTGGGGTGATCATTGACCTGCCAGTGACAGCATCTACTTTTGTGCTCAGCCTTGCTTTTGCCTTGGTGTGTGTGTTGGGGGTGGGGGGTGTGGATGATGGCTAGAGAAACAGGAAAGGAGCTCCCTGCCAGGGTTCTGGGGGGATGAGCCCGAAGTGAACGGGAAGTTTACTCACCTGACTGCATAACAGTGCAGTGCCAAACACTGTGTTGCCTCAGACCTGCCTTCCCTCTCCCAAGCCCCCTCTACCCGCATCCTCGCCAGAGAACTTACCCTGAACAGGCTAAGATGCAGAGTTATACTTGCTGTGTGACTTTGGCCTTTGTGTTACCGTCCTTCTCTGAGTTCTACCTTTCCTCCCACTTCCAATACCAGGGTCTTCAATTCGTGAGAAGGTGTGTGCCAGCCAGGCATTCTAGGGATGCTCATTCAGCCCACAATCCCAAGGAAGAGATTTTTCCCCAGGCTGGTGGGGAGACATGTTGCTGGTCCTGTCATAGACACCGGGGAGGAGGGGTAGAGACACAGTGTCCACAGGCTGATGGACACCAGCTGCCACTGGACAGGTGGGCTCATGCAGCAGTCTATACCCACCACCACCTAGGGCTCCCAGCCCCTCCTTGATCCATAGGTCACACTTGAATTGTTTTAAATAAAACGGGATTCCCCCAGGGTATGAATGATTAATTACACAATTATTCCATTCTGTGCTATTAATCAAATATTCATTGGGTCGTGCAGAAAAGTCTAGGTTTCCCTTCAGACTGGGTTTTTTTTTTTTTTTAAAGCTACCAGCTACTTCTTTATTTTATATCTGTGCGGTATCACCAGCATATGAACATGTACACAGCTCCTCATGTTAGACACTCCAGACATTCATCTTTACGAAACCTCCTCTAGAATTCTATTAGCATTAAAATGAAATACTATGCCAAGTAAAGTCGAGACTGTAAAAATAAAGCCTGCTGAGGCTATTTTTCTTCCAGTGGTTATGAGTCCCTGAGTCTGCCATTCATCCTTCACCCCATGCAGGCTCCACAGGAGACTCGTGCCCACCTACGAGAGCGCATCCATTCGCCGATTCCAGGAGGGGCGGGTGGACAACATTCGCTCAGCAACTCCAGAGGCTCTGAGTTTTGTGACAGCCGTCACTGACCACAAGGCCACAATGCCGGTAAGTCCTGCTCCACCTAAGTCACGTCGAACTGGCCAGCAAGGTGCCCGTGGCCTGACTGTCTGCTCAGCTCCATGACAGCCAGCTCCGTGACTCTCCCTGAGTAGCCTTGTCAGGCCCCACGTGCGCTATCTCTGCTCTGTCCACAGGATTCAGAGAAGCTGCAGCTGCTGAAGGACGCCCTTGGTGCTCAGACCCAGTACACAGTCATGGTGAGTAATGTGGCGCAATCCCTTACGTCAGCTCACATCTCTAGCCTGTGCCCAGAGCCGGGCCTGCAAATGGACTCTCCAGCAGTGGACACTGGGGGAGAGTTGGGCCACCAGCCACAACTGCCCAGGGACTTGGCAAGGCTTCTCTCCCCATTACCCTCCTTTAGCTGATGCTTCAGAATCTAGCTAGCACAGCACCCCTGCTTTTTGCACATACTTTTCAAGAATACAACTAATGGTCTTTGAAACGATGATGACAGTAATAGTATCAAATATGCACAGCATATTATAGTTTATACACCAAGGAAGTCAAATGTGATGGTGTTTGGTGGGGCTTACACACCTTGCACACTCGAAGATGTGCATTCCTACCTGAGAACGCTTTTTGCCTTCTTATTATCTATGTTTTTTAAAATTGTGAATAAATAAGATCTTGGCTGAAAATTACTAGTGAAAACAAAATAACACAAATGTTCCCTTGGCTTAAGGAAATAATTCATTCGCTAGCAGCAAAGCCATCATTTGCATACAACAGAAAGTAATCTATTACCTGGGTTGATATACTAATAGCAACTCATTCAGATACAATCTTTGAAGGAACATCTAATCTATAAATAGAAGCTAACTGAACTTCACTCCATATCCTTGAAAGCAAGTGTAGACTTTTCTCTAATTCAGTTGCAAAGTCCCTAAAGTCACCTAAATATTTAGATATTTGTTTGGTTTGTGGGAAATCCAAGCTCAGTTTCATGTAGTCAGTGGGTATTTTTTGCTTTCCTGCTTTATGCCATGCTAAATACAAAGTGCTACAAAATCAGAAAAATGAAGTTCCATCCTTAGGGAATTTGCTAAGTACTTGGGAGAAGCAGCCCCTATGTGACAAATCCAATCCCATGTGAAAAGATCCCCAGGGAAGCAGTCAGTGGAGCAAGCTCATTTCTCTGCTTGGAGAAGCCAGGAAGACTTCCAGAGCTAGCACTTAATGAGACTTGAAGGATGAGGAGGTACTTGTGAGTCGGACATAACGGGAAGGAAAGCCCCAGAAACAAACAGCATGTCCAAAGGCGCGTTTTGAATGAACAAGACAGTGGAGGAAAAGCAAAGTAGTTTAGTATGTGCAGCCTGAAAGGACAGAGGAGCAGGAAAGCCCACAGTGGAGAGTTCCCTAGTCACTCAGGTTACGCTGGTCTCTACGGAGGGTAGGTTGAAGCAGAGGGGAGTCTGCCAAAAAGAAGTGACACTAATTAGGAATCTACATAATATTTGGGGGAGTGTTGGTATAAACACTGACCGCAAAGAAGGTTGACAACAAAATAATTCAAGCCATTTTCCAAAAATAGGACATGAGTTTCCATTTTGGAAGAGCTCATTATGTACCTTGCATAATGGATGGAAAATTCTTACACCAAGGATATTTCAGAACACTAAGGACAAAGAGAAGATCCTCAGAGAGGAAAAAAAATTAATACAAAGATCGAGCGTAAAAGTGTAACTTAACTTTTCAATAGCATAACTGAAAAGTGAAAGATAGTGTAATAATGTCTGCAAAGTATCTGAGAAAATGATTTCTACTATATATTCCACACCCAGAGAAACGATTATCAAGACATGCATGCATGCATACATACACATATATGTACACACATATATGTTTATGCGTATTTTAAAGGTCTCGGTTTTTGCCTATTATGGACTCATTCTTGTAAAGTTATTAGATGGTGTAGGCTGCTAAAGTGTGAGAGTGAAATCTAAAAGAAGACATCGCTGGGCCCTCAAATCAGGAGATTCAGCACAAGAAAGAAGTAGAGAAAGAGGATGATCGTAAAGGGAGATCCCAAGTTTAAAGTTGTTCAACAGTCCTTGGAAGCAATAGGTCTAGAGAGGAGCAAGAAGTGAGAGATGTGAAATTGATAAGTTATCTGTTATATTTTAAATTTCTAGCTAAGGGTTTAGGAATCAATTAGTAATGGACACAGAAGGATAAGCCAAGTAGAAAAGCCATAATGAAATAATTTTAAAAATTGCCATTCTAAGGAAAAATGAATAAGAAAGGAAATTTAATCATACATTACAGGACTCAGCTATGAATATGTGCATAGTTATAATCATGTAAACAGTGAATGATGAACAAATAATAGAGAGTTAAAATGTAACTCTTAGGAGGATGGGAGAGTAGAAGTATATTAAGGAACTGGGGGATAAAAGAAGCAAACTTTCATCCTCTGTGATAAACAGATTATTGTAAAACTGAAAAATAGCAAAAATAGCAGCCTAAAAAGTAAATATAAAAAAAAAAAAACAACCTAAGAGAATTCCAAGCAGCTGCCTTGATAGAGTGGGAATCGATGCTGGAAGGTGACATAAACCTTTCGCTTATTTGAGTTTTTTTATTATATAAACATACAACTTTGATAATAATTTGAGAATTTTAATTAAAATTTTAGAAAATATCCTCCATAGCATTGCCATAGGGTTCTGTTGTTTTAACTATTTCTAAGTTGATGAAAACAAAAGAGAGAGGGGAGGGAGAAATGAGAGATGCAAAAAGCTTCATAGGTAAATCTTGTGCCTGGTTGGCTGTGAAGGGTAAGAAACAGGAGAAAGCAGAATCCTCCAGATATCTGGCAGATATATTTGGTTGTGGGAGTGGAGAAAGAAAATTCCAGAGGAGCAAATGTGGTCACAGATCATTATGCTTTTCCTTCATTGCTCACCTCAATTTATGATCACAAGTTAATTTGTACAGTAAGGCTTCATAAGGGCTGAGTCTATGATCACTTTGTTCTCTGTGGTTGCTCTAGCACATAGCAGGCTGAGGCACACAGTAGGCACTCAGCGAGAGTCCCTAAACAAACAAAAGGCTGAATGATGCATCCTTTTACTCATTACTATTCCTGGCTTTAATCCAAACAACCTGTGAAAACAAGCACAGTTGCTATAGTGAGTTCAGAGATCTTGAAATCAGGGGTGGGTTGCTTGAAACACAGAGTAGTTGCTTCTGTAGGGCTACATAAACCAGCTATTCAACAAAAGTAACCAGAGAAATTAGAAGTGCACTCCACTTCATCGAGAGACTCGTAGTTCTTCCCTAATGGAGCTCATCTAAGGTGAACTGTGGTTGTATAACATCTTTCCAGCCTATTATTAGGTGTATTTGGAGAGACCAGGGTCTCTGTGTCATCTTTATGAGTTCATTGTCAGCCGAAAGAGAACAGCTGTCAAATTCCAAAATGTGCTTTGAGTCGAGGTCATTGAGATGGAGGGTGCCTACCATGGGGATGTTTTCACAGCTAAGTGGCCAATTTCCGTAGCTGTGAAATCCCCAGCAGTTACTCACAGTTACTCTGAGGTTGACCTGGAGGGTATCACTATAGGCCAGAGGTGATCCCCTTGTCTCCATCCCAAATAAACATGAAATCCAAACAAAACCACCATGCATTCTACACATGCAGCAGCAAGAAATGTCCAGTGAGGACACTGGTCCTACCTGCTGTCACACCACCACCCACACAGAAATTCTGCAATTCCCACTACTATGGTCTTTTGATGAGTTACTTTGTGATAAATATATATATATGCTTTTTTCATTCAGTAAGCCTTCCCCTTGAAAATGTCGGCTGAGCTTTTGCCAACATATCTGCTTCCATTCTTAAAATAATTTCTTAGATTATGAAAACAGTTTAGTTGAAATGATGCTGGGAACTCAGCCAAAAGTCAGGAGCAGACCTGAATGCCCTCTACCCTCTGTTCCTTGGGCTTCCATTGGAGGGTGGTGCTGAGGCAGGTGAGAGTGTGCCCAGTGATCACCCTCTCCACTCCCAGAGGGAGCCAGCAGTCCCAGAGCCCAGAACCCAATCTTCTCACTTGCCTAAGGTACTGGGGGGGGGGTCACTTGCTAGCCCACCCCTCACTGGGTGGCTGTGCAGGTGCAGGTCAGCATTGACAATGCTGCGGCAGGGGTGGGGCTTGGACACCAAACCTTCGACTCAGGTGTCCTCACATTCGAACCCAATCTGCTCTGCACTCACCCTGTGCATGCTGAAATGCACAGTGCCCAAGGAGTATGTGGTCAAGGTCCATCCTAGGTGGCTACCTATATACATCAGCAGCAGCAAGCCCCAAGCTAAGGCCACTGGAATTGCATATTAGCATGTGGACTAGAGAGGAAGGGAGGAGGGACCCCAACTCATTTTCCTGTCCTTTGTCCCCTATTGCCCAGGCCATAACAGGGATGGCCATTGACAATCACTTGCTGGGACTTCGGGAGCTGGCCCGGGATGTGTGCAAGGAGCTACCCGAGATGTTCACAGATGAAACGTACCTGATGAGCAACCAGTTTGTCCTCTCCACCAGCCAGGTACAGCCAGAGCATGACAATCATCCCAGAGACCTCAAGGTGTAACCGGGGGGGTTTGCAAAGAGCCTAGTGACTAGGGCCCACTGAATGGAGTCAGCCTAGTTCTGGCTCTAACTTCGATGAACTGCATGATCTTTGGCAAAATGACCTAGATGCTCTCAGAACCCCAGTAAATGAGAAGTCACAGGTTTCACCTGGTGGAGGTGGAGCCAGGAGGGGAAGGCCCCACGCCAGTGCTGTAACCATATTAGGTGTTTACTGCCTCTCCCCACTTGGGACATGGTAAACCATGTTGGTGACTACTTGTGAAGCCCAACAAGTGTAGGGTGAAGTCCTGGCTCGACTAGCCTTTATGACATTGGTGGAAAGCCCAGCCGAAAGCCTAGTGTGGACAGAGTCTTCCAAACAGGCCACGGCTGTTATGGGACCAATGGCAGGAGATGAACTGGCAGCCAGTACCTTCAAGCCAGTGCTCCAGGCCTGGTCTATTGTAGGACCAATATCACAAAGACAGAATGAAATCCGTTAACGGCAGGCAGCAATTTTGGAGAGAAAGTCCTCCTTCTCATCATCAATTTACTAAAACTCCACCTCATCTGAGCAAGGCTGGACACGGGCAATAAAAGCACTGACAAAGTTGTGTTTGAGGATAAAAGCCCACTCAGTAATTTGATTTTCTCATTACAGCAGTGAGCTTGCAGACGTGAATAAACGAGGTCAGAACACAACATAAATTCTTCAGGAAACCATCCATGGGCAAAAAATGCTTTGGAACGGCTTTATGGCCTTCGGCTGTTGCACAGCAAATTTATCTGACAATGAGATGACTCTATTAGCAAGACTAATGGTTTGTTCTGCTCCATTAAAGTGGCCAGTGCCATCTCTGAAGGCCCGAGTACACAGTGCCAGGGACCTGTGCACTTAAGGCAAACCCAGTCCTGCACTTGCCCAGGAATGCATTGTATTTTCTCCCTGGGGTCACTAACAAAATTAATTTGGGGTGTAGTGCCCAGCTTTTTTTCCCAACTGGAAATGAATTCTTATAGCTTGAAATGTCTTCAGAAGCACATTTCCTTGGTTTGTGATCAAGATTAGAAAATCTTGGCGGTCTGAATTCGAAACATTAGATGCATAACTAAAACTCCAGTTGATGGCAGTCTTTGAAACACCCACTGCTGGGTAATTGTGCGTGGCCAAGGCTGTGGGGAGAAAATCAGACCAGTCGAGCAATACTGACAGTAATTAAAGATGTGGGGAAAATCAACAGAGAAGATGGGCCAGACTTCCTCCCGTTCATAAATTACTCCCTCTGGGAAGCCATCTAACAGTTGGGTGCCACCGGGGTGCCTTTTAGTAAATTATCCTGATTGCCTCGGTGCCTTAAACAGTCCCCAGGTGAAGGCAAGACTCAACCCCAGACCCAGCACCAGTTCACTCAGAGTCTCTGACTGCACGAGTAGAGCAGATTTCACACCAGGGAGTAGCTAGCAGCCCTCTCCTTCTGATGTCATACAGCTAGATGGCTTTGTTTTTATGACTCTGGTTGTGGCCATCCATGCTGAAGCAATTGGTTGATTTGGTTAATTCAGTCAAACACCCAGGTGGAAAATAGTCAGAAGCAAATATCCCGTCGAGGCTCCAGGTTGTGGAACGCCCTGCATTCCAGAGAACAGCAGGCTGCTTTTCAGCTTCTGCCCTGTCCTCTCTTCCAGGTGCCCACAACCATGGAGATGTTCTGCTGCTATGGTCCTGTGGTGCCCAACGGGTATGGTGCCTGCTACAACCCCCAGCCAGAGAGCATTCTTTTCTGCATCTCCAGTTTTCACAGCTGCAAAGAGACCTCTTCTACCAAGTTTGCAAAAGCCATGGAAGAAAGCCTCATTGAAATGAGAGACCTCTGCAGTCCGCCACAGTCAGCCACAGGCAAGCCACTAGCCACAAAAGAAAAAGCAACTAGGCCCACTGCGGGTATCAGCTTTGACTCCCACCACTAGGTTTCACCTACACAGACCCAGCCTTCTGCAGCTTCCAGACCCTGCCATTCCCCTGCTCCCAACCCTCACCGGTTTTCTGTAGCTCCCTTCCTCAGGGCTCAATACACAGTCCACATGGAGTGTTAGGGGAAAAGTGTCCCTCATTATGCATGTGCATCAGCATTATTATCAAAGTGCCCTCTGGCATGTGTACAGGAAGTAAGCCCAGCCTGGCTGGGGCGGCGGGGGTGAGGTGGGGAAGTCCGCACTGACTTCCCTCCATGGCCTCCAAGTTTAACGTTCCTGATTCCTTCCCCAGCAGGACCCAACGTGTCCAGGTGATGATTTTGTCAGACAAATGAGTCACCCTGTTGCATGCAGTGTACCTAAATGAATCGTGAAGGAAGAGCTGACTCCAGATCATTACCTCTTTTCTTTTGGAAGTTAGCCGAGGGTTGGTTCCAGAATCTATGCAGTCTGATCCTGGCAGTCAGAGTCCTGTGAGCTTCCTCTTTCTCTCTCTCTCTCTCTCTCTCTCTCTCTCTCTCATACACACACACACACACACACGCACACACAGAGCCCGTGTTAAACCCACCAAAAGGCAACCTTCTATTGACTTCAGAAAATCGGTCCGGTAATTCTGAAAAGGGAAAAATTATCTGCAACTGTCCTGAGCAGTTGTTGCTTTCTGCTTCCTGGTGGGAGACTGGGCTGTAGGCGAGAGAGGACAGCTTCACTTGCCCGAGGGTCCTGTGCTTGTGTTTTTTTTTACAGTGCTGTCCCTCTTGCCTTCACATAAAACATGTCCCCCCTGGTGGTCTCCTTCTTAGTGGAGAAGAAAGAAGCTTTTGTTTGTTTGTTTGTTTGTATCTATTATGGCTCATGTGCTTTGTTCATTTAAGAGAAGCTTTTAAGAATACCACTGTGAGGAGCCCAAAGCAGGATTCTGCGCTGGCCTGTGGGGCTGAGGGGACAGCCACTGGACAGCAGAGCCTCTGGCGGGACCAGGCATCCAGAGCCAGGCAGGGTGGGGTGCTGATGGAAGTCCCCAGGGCAGGAGGTGGAGCATCCTACACACTACCATTGAAGAGACGCCAGGAGACACGCTTCCTGCAGGGCCATGTCGTTATGGGATATCTAGTTCTAAAGGAACAAAGGGTGGAAAAGCAGTCAGAAAAATCAATATTTCAAGTAGATAAGGCTGCCTGCTTCCGTCTGGGGAGGCGCAGAGCGGGGCTCCCATCACTGTGCGTTCCTTTGTGCTCCCTGCAGGGGGCTCCTAAGAACAACCACTGCACCCCCATCCTGACTTGCTCCCCAGCATTTTGAACACTCTCCTCTGGCTCAAGGACAGTTTTCTGGGCTACTGTGCAAGTCCCTCACACTTTGAGCTGTATTGGTGCCAGCAGAGCTGAGGTGGTGGCGTGTATTTTAATGTTTTTGTTTTAAGATTTATTTATTTATTTATGCATATGGAACTAGGGTACAGGCCAGAGGTGTGGGGGGTGAGACAGAGTGGGGAGCAGAACCAGCAGATCTACTGAAATACACTGCTGAGGGGAGCAGTGGGCAGGTCAGGAGAGATCTGTGGTGCCATGTGGGTCACCTCCCTGGCTGGGGATCAAACTCATGCTGTAGTGGCTGCTATAGCTTCATAATGCTGTGCTTTAACCCATTGCACCACCAGGGAGAGCCCGGTGGCCTGTATTTTGACTTTGCTCAGCTCTTAGAAAACAGATTTGAGCAGTGAGTTCCTGAGCCCTAGTATTAGGTTGAGGATGAACTGGAAGATGCTGGCACTCCCCTTCAGAGTCCTTGGTCTATACAGTTCATGCTCCCTCTCCCAGATGCCCACCTTTATGCCCCCTTGAGGAGCTGCTGCTGAAGAGCCCCAGAAATGCCAGGGGAACTGCTGTTCACCTGCCTTAATTTGCTCTAAAGCCATCTGTGTGTCCTCACCAAATGACCATAGCACAGATCCAAGTTCTCATCTAGTTTTCCCTCCATGGATTTCTTATCAGGCAGAGAACTCTGGTTCTCTGGGTCAGGAAGCCCCACTTACCTTGGCCAAGAGACTTAACTGTCTAGAGACTAATTTCCTCCTTTGGCAAATGAGGACACAGATGTCCTGACTTTGCAAGTGTGTGAAGATTAGGGATCATGTATGGAAGAGCCCTAATCACCTCAGGATGATGTGACCCCAGAACACATTGTTTGGGCAGTTTTACACTATTCACACTGACCTAACAGAATGAAGCTCACACCTATTATTTTCTAAGCATAGGGAGAGGAAATTGACTGTACCAGCCTTGCACTGGTACCGGGCTTTGAGAATTGTGGGTAGCAAATGTTTGACAGGAGGAAACCCTTCGCTCTTTGAGGAATGGACTGGAAGCTGGTCTTCCCCCTCCAAGAGCACACGGTGCACAGAGTCTTTATGCAAAGGCAATGCTGAGCCATGGCCATGGACACCTCTTTGGGGACCCTGGTAAAAGACACTACTCCAAAGGTCCCCAAAGAGATGGGAAATGAAGTCTGAAAAAGCCATTGGGGACAGTATGTGGCCACCTGACAATACTGCTAAGTTGCCAAAATATATAAAGTTGATATTTGAGTTTTATTTTTATAAAAATAGTTCTAGATTTATGCCAATATATACATGTGTATTTATAGTCTTTCAGTTTTAAGTTATAGTTTTGTGTTTTAAAGAAATATATGTGTGACTAAAGAACTGTATATTGAAAGCATTATATTCAAATTATTTAAAGACTGTACATCTGTATTCAATAAAAAGTCATGCCAAGAAAGATGGTGTTGGCTATTATTTCTACCAGAAATGTTATAAGAATTTCCTTGTAAACCCTGAGCTGGGTCAGCAACTCTTTGGCCTCTCTCTGGGGTCTTTCAGCAGCAGTGGGGATGTCTACAAGACACCAGGGCTGAGAGAGGGAATTTATTCTCTGGTATGGCATGGCTGCCACCAGGGGGTGGAACTATGGGGGAGAGAGGAGTGTCTCCTATTAAGCCTGCACACACATGTACCGACCAAACTGAGTACAGGGGAAAGCACCAGTCCTGGAGAAGGGGTTCCTAGGCTATAAGCCCTACTCTGTCTCTAATTTGCTGGCTCTAGGGATGTCATTTTGACTCTCTACCTGCTGGTTTCCTCACTGGTGAATGTACTTGTTGGTACCAGCACTACCCAGTTGCAGACTTGTGGCACGATGACATGAGATGGTCATTGTCTGAAAACTTTAAGAAGTAACAAAGAAACAGCATTCTCAGCACAGGCTCATGTGTACATGAGTTCCATTGTGGACAGTCTATAGTCACATTGCAAACTGAAAGCCCCCTCTACAGAACCAGAACTGAGATTCTTCCAAATAGCCCAATTGCTTTCCAATCAGAACCTAAAAAGAACTCGAAGGTGTATGAATTTGTGTGATTCTGATTTATCCAAAAAGAAAATAGCTAAGAATATTCTAGAAGGATTGGAAGGATTCGAAAAGAACAGCAGCAAGGTAAGGTGTGCTCTTAATTATTACATATACCACATGTGACCCCAAAATAACCAGCTGTAGACAATAGACAAAAGAGTATGAACAGGTAGGGCAACCCCCAACATACAAAATACTGCCACATCCTCTCCTTGTTCCAAAGCTCCCATTGTGGGTATGTCGAGCCATTCAAGTAAAAATGCAGGGAAGAACAACCAAAGTTTCAAAATGACTCCTAAAATGTTCTCCTGGGGGATGTGGAGGACCCCAAGCTCTGCCCCACCCACTGGCCCCTCCCACCAGTGTGGCCACACCCACCCTGAGACTTGAACAGTGGTTGCTTAGCAGTGTGTGCTGTGCCACTGGCCTGGCAGGCGGCCCACCATGCCCAAGAATGCAGTGGTCATCTTACGTTATGGGCCTTACAGTGCAGTAGGACTGTCCGTGGAGCACCGCACCTTCCGCCTGGAAGGCCTGTACAGTAGGTAGTCATTTCTAGAGCGCCAACCACCCAGCTTCTTATGATCAATTGCAACCACAGACTGTGCTCTCGACCTTGACCTCCTTCCTTGGACCCAGACCAAGAACCACCTTTTCTGGACAGTCTTCCCTGAACCTCACCACTCTCCCAAGGTCATTTGTCATCTTCTGGTTTTCACTGTCTCAATGGGAAAAATATGTACTATGAGTCCAAGGGATGTTGGGCCGTTATACAAATTATCTAGATAGAAAGGATTATATACTCCACACTCGACACATTAGGAAACTGAGGATTGGGGCTATAAATGACTTTTTCAAGGTCATATTGCTGGAAAATGGTGGGGAACCTACCCCTTGATCAGTCATTCATACAACACACTTCTACTGGGCAACTGATATGTGTTGAATACTCTTTCAGATACTAGAACACATTAGTGAACAAAGATATATATGTCATTGTTCTCATTGTTGACTAGTAATTGACAGCTGTGCCAAGTGGGAACCCAGCCTGGGTTGCAGAGAAATATAATTATTACACCACCAGTCACACTTGGCAGGGAGAGGGGAGAGATCTGGAAAAGTTCATTGCCTAGAATTAGATTCGGAATTGAACTTTAAAGAGGAGGGAGAAACTAGCCAGACAAGAAGAAAGAGCATTCTAGGTAGAGAGACTAATGTCTGCAAAGGCCAGCAACATGAACAAATAATGTAGCGGGTGAACTGATGGGAGAATTAGGTTATAGAGGTTGTTGGCCAGATCCCAGAGGATAATAAAAATTTTTTAGGCAGAGGGATATAACTGTCACTGCTGTAGGAACAGATTAGTGGGAGCCAAGAATAGATTCAGGGGAACAAGTCAAGGGACTATTGGAGTGGTCCAGGTTTCGAAGAAATGATAGCAGCTTGGACCAGGATAGCCACAAATGGAGGGATTTAAAGCAAATCATGCTTCCCGAGAGGATATGGGGGTTGAGGGTCAAGAGGATGACTTCCGGATCCAGCCAGTGTGTGCTGATGGATGGAAGTGCTTTATACTAAAATTAGAATAGTGAGAAGGGGCCGCCACAATTTGGAGGAATAAGTTCCATCTGGGATGTATGGTCAGCTACATAAATGGAAGTACTGAATGGCTTATCCAGTTCTGGAGTTCAGAAAAAATATCCACTAGAGATAGAAAGGAATGAGTCCTCAACTTGGGAAGAATGTATAGAATGAAAAGGAAGCCTGGACTGGGGCTTTTAGGAACTGCATCCAAACCCATGGTCTGCCCGGCAAATTGCTCTGGGACTCAAGAGGTCACAAAATCAATTCTGACCCAACAATCTGGGAAGGTCTCCTGGAGGAAATGATTTTGAGTTCATTTGATGAGAAGGTAGGATTTCAATAGGCAGAGAAAGTTTACTTAGAAATTTCTGTCATAAGTTTATGACATAAGTTATTTGTTTATGCTTAAATTTTGTTGTCATCTTGGCTAAGTAACTGACTTTTTGTTCCTTTCACCTCTGTTGAGTTCTGCTTATCCCTCACGAAATAACTCACCACTAGTTTATGTTCACTAACTGACTAGACTAAGTAGCTATAGCATTTCTTTAAATATTTGGTGAATCTAGGCCCTCCCTGATGGCACAGCTGGTTAAAGCGCAGCACTAAGAAGCTAGAGCCACTTCAGCATGAGTTCGATCCCCGGGGTGACCCACATGGCGCCGCAAACCTCCCCTGACCCTCCCACTG